GAAGTGGAGGTTTATTATTCTCTTGCACTTTGGAGAATGGTTATAAATACTTGTTTTATGCTACCTCACTTCTTTACACTGAAGAAAAAGATTCCAAAAAGAGCAGAGGTGGAAAAAAAATACATTCCAGGCTGCTGTAAGTCAAGGCCTAATCCAAAAAGGTGCTTGATATTCTCTGTTCTAGTCAAAGTCAGACAAAATGGATGGATTTGTTAAGCTGTCTGAGAGTATTGTTGCTGTAATTCTGCAAACGCAGCCACTGCCTGGACATTTCCTCCTACCCACGTCAGTAATCGATGGGGTAAGGTTTAAAGTTGTCCAGAGGGCAACTTTTACAGTGCAGAGTACTTTCAGGGAGAGCTGTAAAGATAGGAGATCTGCAGAGAGCAGTTGGAATCAGTGTCTCTGGGTTAGTGCCACGTGATTTAATAATCTCCTGTTGCTGCTCACGTTACTGGTATAACCTGAGCTTGTTCTCACAGACCTGCTAAAACACTGGAAGTGATAGCCTGGTCACTGGCACAGCACCACAGGCCTGTTGGCTGCAGGAGAAAGTTTCACAGTAATCAAGCATTCAACAATCTGCTTCTGCCAGCTAAGTAAAAAATCTTTTAGTTATGGTGATCGCATATATGGACTTAAATTCCTGATTTAGAGATTCCCAGCCCGAGCTTCGAATACATCCAAAAGCAATGAGTGCCCGATATTATTTTTTATGTATTATTTATTAAGTAAAGAACACATTCTAAAGTCAGTACAACATTTAGCAGCAACACTGCAAACTGAAAGGAAACATTCAGAGAATGTTTCACTTTCAGAGAATGTTGCATTTTCTCTTTCAGAGAACCTACCCAGACAATGGAAAAATTCAGACAGATGCTGACAAGGTAAAGTGAAAATCTCAGCCTGTTTCAAGAAACTCTTCTAATACAGTGTACAGGGGCACCAATATTTTCCATGTTGTGTATTCAGCTTTTGTGTTGTATTGTTTCTGATATCACTCACCAAGCAGTTTTCAACCCTTATTGTTCCATTACTACGTCTTGCATTTGTAGAGGCAATTCCTTGGAAATATTTAGAATTTGGACCGCACATGCAAGCCAGAAAAAGTTCAGCAAATGCTGCCTGGCTACGTGGCACTGTGCTCCCTCCAAAGCTCTAAACTACCAACAGGAAGAATTTTAAGTCTCCTTATTATTACAACACTTGCTCTCCCCTGCCTTTTGTGATGGCTTATTATTAATACAATTCTAGATGCATTTAAGGTACTGGATCTATATCTGTCTTGAATCCTTCTGCAAGACTGTGCAGTCCCTGGTGAATTGAAATGCAAACTGCAGACACCCTCAGCCTAACTGATACTCCACCCTTCACTTAAGTGCATAACTACATTTCAGTACCTACATTTAATGTATTAAATTAATTAAATTAATGTACTGAAATATACATACCTCACATGTATTTAAAATATGGCCATAATAATTATATTCCCATCTGCCCTGTCTTTCTGGCACAGGCATTCATTGCAGTGCCCATATACCAAAGCAGGCTATCAGGCTTACTGTGTACCTTGGCAATAGTGGATGATATGAAAGAAAGGCAGACTTGTTCAGGAAATGCAAACACAAACCCCCTTCCAGATGGTGGTCACGTTATGATACTCATTTAGAACTTCTAATTTGAGATTATTGGAAAATGAAAGCGCACACACACACACTTTTTGTGTGTGTGCTTCTAGGAATAAAAAGAATTCATTAATGAAAAATATGATTAGCACTATCTCTATAGTGGTAGTGCTCAGGATCACCTGAATGATTGGCTACCTCATGTTAATAAGTAATGAAAAAACAATTCTTGCTTTCAACTTTCAGTTTTGTGTTTTGAATGCTACCCACGTATAATATTTAGCAATTATGAGACTAATAATTGAGATTTAAAAACAAAATTTGACTTATTTGTTCTACAGCTTGATATAGGGTGGGAACTTGTTAGAAAGCAGTTATAGGGATTCAGGTTTCTTTTCATAAATGGATGCTGCTTTGTCACACATAAAACTTTTCCCCTAGTACAAATAAAGGTGTCATTTTATTTCAAGGTCAGCACTGAAAAGCCTGTTCTGTCTGGGTGGCTTCTCTTATACCAAATCATATATAAAATAATTTTCAGAAAGAATAGCAGGAAAAAATTCTTCTGCAATAGTTGTTGGAGAGAATCCCAGGGAAGTAACAAGAGCTTAATGGCTTGAGGCCTTTTGCAGTGATATTGAAAAAAAGCCTTCAGGAAAGTTTCTGCCTCTTCTTTCCCCCCACAGCTCTGCTGGATTCTTGGCCGTGTATTCCTATAAATGCATCCCTCCACAGAAGGCATATGAAGTACTTGGAGTAATGGATTCTTCATTACTATGCCTCTGGCTACTTTCTATAAAACAGCTAATTGGAAATATGTGAAAATCCACCCATCCCCAAACATTAAGTTGTTTATTGTCAGTTTGACCTACTGAAAACTGAGTGCCTGTACACCAGTGACAATCAGATCTGCAAACTCTGTGCAAAAAGTCCTGAGATGATCGTACCACACTGATTGACAGATTACACCCAGGATTAAAAACTGAAGTTATGAGCAGGAAACAGAGATCCATTTATTTAAACACATGAGCCTCCTTTTTTTTTTTTTTTTTTTTTTTTGACTCAAGATACTCCTGTTTAATTCTTGAAATGAGAATTTAGAAAACCAGTATAGAAATGTTAAAGTCTTTGTTCCTTTGTCTGAATCTGACTGAAGTGCTGATATGGCACACCACATTTAATGCTTATTATCCTCAGCTGGGTCTTATCTTCATCCTATCCAGATGAGAGTAATAATATGATCCTGAGAGAGGCTCCTGACACGTGCTAACTAATCCATTACAATGTGCAGTTATAAATACACTGTGCATTACACATGAGACTTTCTGAGTGTCTTCATAGAAGTGTTTCATCAGTCCTGAAAAGTCCTCCATGTCTTAGAAATCCATGCTGTCTTATGAGGCAGAAAATAAGCGTACTGGAGCATTGATACACGTCTAAAAAGAGCAGTCATGCCAGAAACAAGGCTCCAGAAAAAGTAGAGAAAGTTGTAAGTAGTTCATACTTTTTTCTTTTTTTGACAGGAAGTTCATGTATCTGTGGGCATCCATTTTTTATTTATAAATCCAATGTATAATGCTTGCTTTTGTCAATCCCTCCAAATTCCTTCAGAAATATTCCTTTAGAAATGTACGTGGTTTAGGAAGGATGATACTTGATTGTGTTATAAAACACTGCTAGGCACTGTGAGGATGACTCCTTAAATGAGTGATAATATTTTCTAATAATTGATATTTTTTTCTCCACAAACAAAAGCATTCTCTAAAGAACATCCCATTTAATTTTGAATGGCTCTTTTAAAAAACGAATAAAAATATTGTTTCCGTATTATCCCAAAAAACAAGGTGAAAATCCAAGAATCTGAAGTACGGAATTGAAAGTGTTGACTTCTTTTACTAATTAAGCATCTTGTCTCTAAGTATTTCAGATGAGAATAAAATGCTGTTATTGCCAACACTGAACATCTCTTGCTTAATATAAAACACTTTCAGCGTAAAGCCCCCCCACCCCTCCCAATTATATATTTCATGTTTTTTTTTTCTTTCATGTAGGGAATCCTAATTTCAGAAATTGAACAAATTAAAATGATGTTTTTCAGGTAATATGCTAAATTGTTACAGGATTATAACAATAAATACAACAGTTCAGCTTTTATCTACACGTGGAATATATTTATCTTCATAGCGTAGTGAACTTTGGTATTGTTTGTGATATGCGGGCTTTAGGGATCACAAAGATTCTTGTTAACACTTTGGAAACACTGCTTTGATAAAGAAATGGATTGGAGAAGGACTGAATCATCAGTACAAAGGTACACAATACAAGTGGCAGAAAGTATAACAGATGGAAACATCCACTTTTCCAGATCTTTCCCACATTTCTTAAAGCAAAATTTTTTTCATTGAAAATACCCAAATATTTTCTAAATATTTTGTAACATTTAGCAGGGAAGCCTCCTGAAACATGCCCCTCCTCCTCCTTGAAATGTTTAGAATTAAAATTTGTATTGTGTCCGTCTTTTCTCACTTCCATTGAAAATGGAGTTGAGAATTTGAAATCTGCTTAATGCTAGCTGGACCCTGCTCTAGGCAGGGACAGAGCTCTCAGCAAGGACAAATACTACAAAAATTAAACAACTCTTAAATTGTTCTTGTCCCGGCAGAAAACAGGTATTAAAGGAAAAGGTGTCTTTTCAGAGGCATCTTTAACGCCAGGAAATAACGAAGCACAACCATGCTTTCGGCAGCTCTGAGCGAGCACCAGCACAGCGCGGCCTCGCTGCTAAACCAGAACGGGCAGCACAAACCCCAAATATCCCCGGGTGTCCTCCAGTGCCAGCATCTCTGGGACAGGCTAAACCAGAAACCCCAACTATCCCCGGGTATCCTCCAGTTCCAGCATCTCTGGGACAGGCTAAACCAGAAACCCCAACTATCCCCGAGCATCCTCCGTGCCAGCATCTCTGGGACAGGCTAAACCAGAAACCCCAACTATCCCCGAGCATCCTCCAGCTCCAGCAGCTCTGGGAGAGGCACCCTTAGGAACCCATTCCCGCACCTCCCATTGACAAATCTCAGGAAGCTCGCTGCAGATTCATGTTTTTTCTCGCTTAGGGGGACAAGCTCTGAACGCAAGGCAGTGCGAGAGGGTGTGAGAGTGCGCGGCCACGGGAGTAATCAGGGCCTGGGTGGGACCATTCGGGGATGAATGGCTGCTGTGTACGGGTGTCTAACAAGTCCGGGGGAATTTTACGGCCCCTTTTCTCTCCGAGCACCGCCAGGCCACGGAGGCCGAAGCCGGTATTTGTACAGACACGCTCTGCCGGAGCGCGGCCCGGGCAGGCGCGGCCGCCATGTCGGCGGGCGGGGCGGCCCCGCGGGCGCAGCGCGCATGCGCGCGGCTGGCGCAGGCCCGGCCTCGCTCCGGCCGCTCCTCTCTGCCCTGCCACGTACGGGCGGCGGTGGCGGCGGCCGTGCCCGGCTCGCGCGGGGCTGCTCGGGGGCGGCTGCACCGGCGGGACGGCGGAGAAGCCACAGTAAGAAAGCTGGGGCCGCTGCACCGCGTGCGGAAGCGGCGGGAAGGAGGGAGAGAGGGGCAGCCCGGGCTGGGGCGAGCCGGCCGCCCCCTCCCCCGGCCCGGTCGTTCCCCGGTGCGGCGGGCGGCGCGGCCCCTGGCGGAGCGGCCGGGAGACCCCTGGTGTGCCGCGGCCGTGGCTGAGGGGGCGGAGAGCGGCCGCGGCTCCCGGGCTCGGCACGGCCCCGCGGCTCCCGGGCTCGGCACGGCCCCGCGGCTCCCGGGCTCGGCACGGCCCCGCGGCTCCCGGGCTCGGCACGGCCCCGCGGCTCCCGGGCCCGGCACGGCCCCGCGGCTCCCGGGCCCGGCACGGCCCCGCGGCTCCCGGGCTCGGCACGGCCCCGCGGCTCCCGGGCTCGGCACGGCCCCGCGGCTCCCGGGCTCGGCACGGCCCCGCGGCTCCCGGGCTCGGCACGGCCCCGCGGCTCCCGGGCACACAGCCGCCTTCCTTCGGGAGTGCCGGCCCCTCACCGCCGGGCAGCGGTTTCTGGGTTCCCAGCAACGGCTGGGATTTCTGTTCCCCTTTGCGCCGGGCCTGCCCGTACGGGAACGGGGGAAAACCGAAAAGAGCTCTTCTCCGTTCTCGTCACCCCCACTTGTCCTGGGAGAAGTCGTGGCTCTCTCCCGGGCGGCGCTGGGAGGCAGTCCTGCTTGCTGGTGTTCCTGTCGGCGGCACCCTGATCCTTAGCCCTGTTTGACAGAAAAGATTGCAGCAGGAATGAATGCCTGTCTTTCCCTTGCCTGCGCAAGGCTGTTTTTCTTGCTGTTGTGCAGAAAGGGTAGTGAGATACAGCGTGGTCATGAGATGCCGGTTTTAGAGGGGATCCTGAAGTGACTGGCCTAGATTGGGCAATCCCTGTCCCCATGCAGCACTTAGATTAGTGCATGATGTGAATGGAAAGTGAGCCGGGAAGGGAGGAAAGGGCTGTACCTGCAAAATGCCAGTGTACACCAGGAAGGTTAGAAAGATGTCAGTGTGATTCTTATGGGAAGCAGTCTGTAGTCTGAAAGATGGATACATAAATGTTTTTTGGTTGGTTGGTTCCTCCCCGGCCCAGGAAAGTAGACACTGATTTTGTTAAAAAGCTCATTAGTGTGCATTCTGGATGTGTTCTCCATAGATCCGTCTCAATGGAGTCTTCATTCAGCTGTGTCACAGTGAGGGAAAAAGCTTCAGTGCTATGTAATTCAGCAATTTGAGTATTTCACATAGTTTTCTGTAACAGTTGCAAGCAGCTGCAATGTCTAGAATCTGTGTCTTTAAATCTGGACACCTTCAAGCAGTATGGAGAACAGCTAGACCAAGAAAAAGTGCATTTATTCTTCTGCTACCTTTTCGTAGTCAGTGATGGATAGCAGGTTTCTGTGGGTAATGCTGGTAAAAAAGGCATTACAGTAGCTCCTTTCCTTGCACAAAGAAATGAACAATGCATTCAATCTGTTGAAAGGCCACAGGAGTTCAGCTGTGTCCACCAAAATGTGTCTATGTTTAGGACATAGAGATGAGGTTCAGTTCTTACTGTTAACAGTTTCTGAGTAGCATATGTTGTAATGCTGAAGAAGCAAAACCAGTACCCAGACTGACGCTTAAACAATGTGAGGGGGTAGCAAATGAACTCTTTGGTTCAACCACTCTTCGATGCCTTATCTGTATTTGTCCAGTGCAGTAAACGTACCCGGAGCTGTAGCAGCTCTGGGGTGAAAGGGGCACTATCCTCATGCCTTACGCCTTTCCTAAAACGTGAGCGAGGCAGCAGAAAAGTAGTCTCTTCCTGTTCCCCTGCTTAGCGTGTCACAGCAGTCTCTCACTGTCAGAAACAGGAACAACCCTTTTTAAAGAGCAGCACTGCATACTCAGGATGAGGGAAGCAGCTGCCAGCCTTTGAGAACCAGAGAGTGCCTTTGTGTCTTCTCTGGGGTTTGCTTGTTCTTGCCTTCGTCCTGTATGTTCCAATTTACTTCCAGTTGAGTTGAAAGAGGAGAGCTGGGAAGCCCAGCTTTATGTGAATAAAGGGGAACCTACTTTTTTTCTCTGGTTAGCAGTAAAACATCTAAAAATCAGATTATGGATTTTTGAAATTGGCTGTGCATGTGAAAGAGAGGAGTTACCAGGAGGGTTCACCCATGGGGTCAGAGGGAGGAGCCACGTGTGTTACCTATTGGACTGTTCTGTATGCCAAATCATCTCTTGATCTTAGTCCTGGAAAGGAATACATTCCTATTAGGAATTCCTACATGACATTAGAAAATTAAAAAAAATAATCTTGTATGCCAAAATTGTAAGTTTTGTTCAAGATCTCTTTTAGATCAATGCAAATTCTACAATACTCAAAAGTGTAAATCTGATTGTTACATTATGGATAAAGCAAGGGCTTTTAAAATTGAGTATATTCACCAAGATGTTCTGAAGTGAAAGATGGATGTGAATTGTGTCATTCTAGGGAAGTGTGACTGTAAATATGTTTATTTTCTGATGCAGCTTACTGTTCTCTGGCATTGACAGTGCATGGCGGCTTACCCTCACTCTGTCCTGAAGTGAGGTGGGAAACTGTCCAATAATCCAGCATCACTAAGACAGATAAGGTAATGATAAACGTATATTTTTTGGAAAGGAGATGAAAGGAAACCTGTGGGTCAATACTGTTTTATTTTTTAATGCTTAAATAAAAAAAAATCCCAACTACCAACCAACTTGTGCAAAAATCGTATGCTTTTAAATCTAATTTAAAGTTAATTAGGCTGGGTTGATGTACCTGCGGTCAAGACTCCTATGTTGCAAAACCCGAAGAATGCATTAGTGAGCATTAACAATACTATAAACCTCACAGTTTCATCATAGTGCCTCAGCAGCAGCATAGCTGTGTTAATTGCTGGTCCCTTTTCCCTGCAATTAGGCTGTATCCACCTACCTTGCCTTACGTGTGATGAGGAGAGTGAGTTTTGTTCAATAATTGCTTGTATCTTTTTGGGCTAAACAAAGGGCTTTGCCTGAAATCTCTGCTTTGTATTAAGTTAATTACCAACACCCCCAGGAATTTAATTGCAGTCTAAAGATAGCATTATATTCCATCTTTTTAATGCAAAATATTGTCACTGAAACAGTGGAGTTAAATATATACAGGTGTATCAAGGAATGTATTAAAGGCTTTAGCTGATTGCCTTGTTTCTGGTAGGAGAGAATTTTCAGTGCAGTACTTTAAAAATATCAAAATTCATTATTCTCATAAGGCACTGTGTTATGACATCCTTAAAGGTAAAGGAAAAATATCTGCATATCTCTGAGAGTTCTTGTGAAAGAGAATGAACCACACGCTTGCCTGCATGGGGCTTCAGAAATCTTGATTTCGATATGGGCTGCCTACGTTTTAAGATCTCCTGTAATTGTATTTCAGATGTTAAGATAACTGCTTCTTTAGTTGCTCCTCATTCCAGATCTATTGCTTTGGCCCTGTCCAGAGCAGTGGAAAGAGGAGGGGACATTTGACTAACTACCTGGCTCTCTTTTTGTGTTTTCCCCCCACCCCATTCCTCTTTTGAGTAACTTTGCTGTAGTTTCAAATTTTTAAATGTAAAGCCTTCGTGCTTTTAAATGAGAGATTATTAATGCAAAGTGGTAATTAAAAAATTTTCTTACATAGAATGTTAAAGATATAACAGAAGTATATGCTGTGTGCTGCTGGGACACAAGATGACTTTGTTGCGCTTCCTACTCAGAGCAGTTGCTCACCTCTTAAAACATTAAGAATAACAGACTGTCCTGACCATGTGTTGAGCCCAATGAATGGCTAACATGTGGTCTCTTGAGCTGCTTTTAAAAGTCTAAAATCTTGGTTAAAATACCCCAACCAAAATTTCCAAAAATTGAAAAATTGTGTATCTTCTTTTCTGGAGAGGAACACTCCGTGAGTTCTGATCATCCATGTGATAAAACCAATGTTTAGCCATGCACTTATTTGTTCAGGAAATACTACATGATTCGGCTTGATCCCCTTAGTAAAGCCACTATAGAACCTGAAATCTTTGAGATATTTGTTCTGGCAGTCTTTTCTTACATGAAAGAAAAGCCATTTGTTCTTTTTCATAATAGGGGGGGCATGTAAAATAATCCAATTAGATGATAATGTAAAGCTTCAGAACTGTCATCAGATAGATGATGATAAAATAGATATTACAATAACTAACAGTTCAGTTTTCTGAAATGTTCTTAATGTTTTGCTGCTAACAGGTCTGCAGGTGATAAGGAATCCACCATGAATGGGCAGCTGGACTTAAGTGGGAAGCTGATCATCAAAGCTCAGCTTGGGGAAGATATTAGGAGAATCCCTATTCATAATGAAGATATCACTTATGATGAATTGGTGCTAATGATGCAAAGAGTTTTTAGAGGAAAACTTCTGAGCAATGATGAAGTCACAATAAAATATAAAGACGAAGGTAAGGTTTAATTACTGCTGTTGAGGTTTAATTGACTACTGTTGCTCTGATACAGTTTATCTATGGATAGAAGCTCTGACATTCACATTTTAGAACTGTCCAATGTCACGAGCAAATGCAAGTGATTTCTTGTGAAATCTATTTGATCAGATAATAGAAGCTGTATTTCATTATCTCCTGTTATGTTCTCTTAACAGCATTTCCTCCATTTTTCCACTGAAATATTTCCTCAGTTTTTTCTCTCTGAAAGTGCAGTTTTTGCTGTTGCAAGAAATTGATTGCAGGTTTCTCTTCTATTCATTCATTTAATCTTTTTTTTTTGAGTTTTCAGTGGTTTTGAAGATGTAAAGAGGATAAACATTTATGACCTAACACAAGTTCTTATAAGACAGAAAACTTGATCTATGTGGTAGTAATGCTTGATTGTTTTTCTCCATCAGTAAAGATCAGAAAAATAATTTTAACTTGAAATATGCATTAAAAGTTACCTTTTCTCTCTGGGACCATTTGAATATGTTGCACATTAGTTGTTCCAAAGAAAATATTGATCATTAGTGTTAAAACAAACTTAACCTTAAGGACTTCCACAGAATGAGGAGAGCCCTATTTGAGATGCATAGAGAAAGTTGTGATTGGAGGGATTTTCCTCTTTGAATGTCAATGAGGCATGGATAAGTTACTTAATTTGGGACAGAGGAATGGTGTTCATAAAATTAAACTTGGAATGAAGTGATAAAATCCAAAGCTTTTTAAAGATTGATTATGCTGTTGCACAGTAAAAAGTGCCATGTTACTGAAGCATTCAGGTTCATTTCTCTTAATAGCCCTAGGAAACTTTAGTGCTGCCTAAAATGTCAACTTTTGTTCCTATATCTAAGCAATAAAATTTCACTTTGAAGAACCCTGACACATGTTTTTGAGGTTCATGAAGTTTTTGAGATACTGCTTATCAAAATTGTAAGTAGTGTAGGTCTTGATCTCTAGTGAAAGGGAGCTCAGTGGATTTGTGGTGGTTTTGGTTTCCTTCTTATCACATATTTTCTCCTTTCTGAAATGAGAAAGGTGAAAGGAGACTGGATGCTTTTTCATTAGATTAAATTGAGTTACTTTGGGGTTTTTGCATTCTTACCTGTGCTTTAAGTATGGTCATCTGGGGTTTTTGGTGTGTATTACTTTGTTTTATTCAAAATAAGATAATGGTGTATGATGGAGACAGTAATGACAGTTTCATTCTTTGGTCGTGTTTCACAGTCTAGAGACTTTCCTGCTTTCACTTCTAGTTTTCTTTGTCTCAGAACTGTATTTGGTTTGCATGGCCAGGTTTTGGTAGAGGGGGGCTACAGGGGAGGCCAAAGCCAGGCAGCTCCAGGACAGACCTGCCATGGGCCAAGTCAGTCAGATGTAGTGGTAATGCCTCTGTGGTAACATACTTAAAAAGGGAAAAATAATGTTATGGCACAGATGCAGTTTTGGCCAGAGAAGAGAGGAGCAAGAATCTGTGAGAGGAATGGCTCTGCAGACACCAAGGTCAGTGGAGAAGGCAGGCAGGAGGTGCTCCAGGCAGCAGAGCAGAGATTCCCATGCTGACCATGGTGAGGTAGAAGGTGCCCACGCAGCTCCTGGAGGTCCGTGGAGGTGCAGCCTCTGGAGGAGCCTTACACCAGAGCAGCTGGATGCCTGAGAAGAGGCTGTGACCCTGTGGGGGACCCATGCTGGAGCAGGCTGTTCTTGAAGGACTGCCCTCAATGGAATAGTGACCCTCGTTAGAGCAGTTCTGGGAGCATTGTTGCTAATGGGATGCGCTCACATTGGAGAAGTTTGTGGAGGATTCTCCCATGGGAGGGACCCCAGGCTGGAGCAGGGGAAGGACTCCTCTGTCTGAGCAGTGGTAGAAACCATAACCTTCATTCTCTGTGCCCCTGCACCACTGGGAGAGGAAGAGATAGAGCTGCAGAGGAAGAAGAGCTTGAAAGGTGAATTATCCTACTCTGATTTTGATTGGTAATAAATTCAGTTAATTTTCCCAAGTTTGAGAGAAGTTTTCTTCTAACTATTTTGGTGTCTTCATACTTATTTGTGTGTTAAAGTTGACAGAGATCTTTACTATTCACTTCTACACATGAACTTTGTCAGCAAGGGAATGGTAATCGTCTTGCGATTCATATTCTGAATGTAACCTGAGGAAGTGTTCTAGACATTTGAAAATTTATATTGGTTTTTAAAAATTGAATTGGGTTTGGCTTGTGCTGTTTATCTGACTTTTGTCTGTTCATGAGCAGCATGGTTCTGGAGCCACTTTGGCATAGGCATTTCACTTTTTAACTGGTAGCATCATTCTTCCTGGTGTTGGACTTCATGAATTCTTAGCTCTAATATTTCATCCTCTATGTAAACATAAAAGAATGATTAACTAGATGGAACACCAAAGGCTAATGTCAGAAGACTCCCTTTTGGAGCCATTCATGCTTCTGTCTTACCTTCTGTGCACAGTTTCTCTCCACACTGATTCTTGCAGTAAAATAATAAACATTTTTTTCCTAGTGACTTCACAATCAAATAGGAAGGTTATTTTTGAGTAATGAAGGAACACTACTGATGTGAAGCTCAGTACTCATAGGCTGTGATTTTAATGTAACTTTTTCTTGTACTTTTCAGATGGAGATCTTATAACAATTTTTGATAGCTCAGATCTCTCCTTTGCAATTCAATGCAGTAGGATACTTAAGCTGACATTGTTTGGTAAGTATAGAAGACTGTATTTTTCTATTTATTTTAAATAACATTTATTAAAATTTAGGCAGTGGACTTCACTGAGAGGTACAAAATACTTCAGTTTGTCACCTCAGGTGAAGAAAATGCAATCAGTAAGTTGGTACTGCTGAGTTAATACATAATATCTGTTTTTCTTGATGTTTTTCATGGCACTTTCAAACTTAATGGAAGCAGAAATTACTACTTTTTACACTTGCTTGAAGTGTAAAAAACATTAAAATATTTGACATGTATGCATATACATGTGATCAGTGGTTCTTTCTCCCTTAGTGCTCTTTTTTTCCACGTTCTCTTCCACTCTAGCATTTGTGGGGTTTTCTTCTCAGGTGCATGAGGATTTGAAACAGACACTTATCTTGCAGTGGTACACTGCTCCAAACTAGTGTTAGTTGCTTGGAGTTGAATAGATGTTAACGTTTATCCTTTAGCCTTTGTGTAAAAGTTCTTTATTTTCAGACTACCATAGGTAGCTCAGCATGTAGTTCCAAGCCTTTAACTTGGACACTGACCTTATTAATAAATTGCAGCGGTGTTGTATGGACTGTGTTAGTTCTAAAGTGACAGCTTTCCAGAACCTGCATCATCAGGGTATATTCAGGGAAATGAGTAAACAGTGCAGACACTTACTGTGGACTTTGCTTTGGTACTGCAGCTTTTGCTGAACTGAGATGATATTAAAGGAAAAGTAAGCTCTAGAATGAGTTCAGTCTGTGTGGACTAAACTTTGTCACTTTAAACTCGACAAAGGGTGATGATGCTACAAGCAAGTAAAAGTTGGAATTTTTTTGCTCATCTTTAAGTGGACGTTACTACAGTCTTAAGTTTATCTGTTTGCTGTTTTGCAGTGAATGGACAACCAAGACCTCTAGAATCCAACCAGGTGAAGTACCTGCGCCGAGAGCTGATAGAACTGCGCAATAAAGTCAATCGTTTGCTGGACTGTTTAGAACCGCCAGCGGAACCAGGGCTTTCCACTAATCTGCCTGAGAGTGGTAGGCAGCCTGGCAAAGAGTTGTTTGCTTTGATTTGAAGAGTGGTGTGCTGTTTAACAAAGTGAAACATGGCTCATTCTTAATTGTTGCTTGGTGGCCCAGAACTTAATTTTTAATGCTTTAGTTGTTTCAGAGACAGAATTTTTGTTTGACGTATCGGGAGTAAAACCCTGAACTAACTTAGGAATGAACTTCAGAATCCAAGGTTTTGTTGCAATGTACAAAAACACCATAACTAACACCTGTGAAGTCCAGCAATGCCTTGAGAGGGCTTTTAGCCAAATTAATAGTTTGTTGCTGAAGAGTTCTTGCTCGCAGTTGAGTAGTCCCTCTGCTTACTTTGGGCTAGCTCTGGTGCTTATCTTGTGTTGCTAAGCGAGTTTGATTCACTAAAACAGTAAGAAGGGAATTCAGCAAAAATTATATCCACTTTTTTTGCCAGGTTAGGAAATTGAATCTACATATTTTGCGTTCAGACCAGCATCAGAGCTGTCTCAGGGTAAGCAGTATGAGGGTGCAGGTAGGGGTGGGAAAGGATTTTTGGAGGAGGGCAAAACGGGAAAGAAAGTCTTATTCTTACAGTTTCAAGGTATTGATCTAGCTTAGGGCAGTTGTACTGCAAATATTGTATCTCTGTGTGCTTAACTACAGAGTTTAGGTAAGCTGGACACAGAAAATGATTAGACAAAGTCATTAAGTTCAGTGCTCTGAGTAAAGAGGTGAACTGAGAACATCAGCCTGCCTTTTAAATGTTGCTTTTGTATTTGCACTTTGAAATATTACTGCTTTTGTTGCTTAAAAAAATCTCAGCCCTGTTCTACAATATATGCAATTAGTAATTTCAGTTGGATACCATGGATTCTGGTTACAAACTATTTGGAAAATACAAAAACTAGCCAGTCTGTATCTATCTGTAGTTGTTTGCTTTTAACAGAAAATGTAGCAGTATTAGGTAAGGCATTTCTGATCAATTCAGCTATGTGTATAGTTGCAAAGATCTCAACTTCAACTGTCAGCTTAGGAAAAATTAGTGGAGAAAGGTAGAGTACAAACCAGAAACTGCAGATGATAAAACACCATAATAAATTTGAGCTATCCTGTATGTTTTCCTAATTTTGAATTCTTTGTGGGCAAATCATTTGTTTGAAGCGGGAGCTTTGTGCCTTTGACTTTCAGAACACATGATCTATTACTCTAATAGTCCACAGTGTTAGTGTATCTTTAAGTAACCGTGAAAGAAACCAAATCTTTGTGATCCATCCCAGTTTCAGCTACATCAGTGGTTCTTCACTGTTATCCTAACGTGCACATTTGAGCAGTTACATTTCTAAAGCCCCAGCTGTGGTGTTGCGGGTGCTGGAGTGCAGTGTGTGTGTGTGCTGGTGTTTCAGTTCTGGAGAGCTGGTAACTGGCGTTTTGCTTTGTAGATGCTGTAGATGGTAGGGACGAAAAGCCTGCTGCTGCTGACGCTAATGTTAAGCCATCCACTCAAGTTATAGCAGCGAGCATGTCTGCATTCGATCCGCTAAAGAACCAGGAGGAAATCAGCAAGAATGTCATGTCAGCCTTTGGCTTGACAGATGATCAGGTGTCAGGTAAGGATGTGGCTGGTGAAAAGGAAAGCTAAACCTTTTCATAATCAATTGCTCCAGTTTTGATTTGTGACAAAGCATTTGTACGTTGGATGTATTAAGCTGTGTTCTGTGTTCACTATGTCTTTTCAGAATTCTAAAACTTGCTATGTTAAGGTGTTGTATCTACGTGCTAACTTTTGTATACAAAATACCAAAATGCTGCTGTTGATTTTAGCATTGTGTTTTAGCTTGGAGTACAAAATGGCTTCATTTTTAAAAATTTGAGTTACTTAAAGCTATTGTGTGGACTAAATTAATTGGTATCTGCCAGCGATAGTAGAACTTACTGCTCTGCTTTAAGATTTGATCTTGCCGTTCGTGTTTTTGGCTTGTGCTTTTGCTGTTTGGGTCATTCAGAATGTGTTGTATGATCCCACCTTTTCTCTGTTTCGTTTTAGAAGTAAATAGAATCAACTTTTTCACTGTTAACAGAAAGGAATAACATACTTGTCTGAATTATATTTATTTTTGAAGAGCTGAAGGACTGCTGGCCCCAGTAATAGAATGCTAAGCGTATCAAAACTGATTATACTAAACGGAATGCTGTCAACTTGAGACAGGATAACTGAAGCTAGAAAAGCAATGTAGAATGTGATAAGGAGTGTGATGCAGAGCTTAGGGAAGTGATTTTGCACAGAACCTGCGTGGGCCTGGCAAGGTTTAATTGTTCACTGAAACATGAGAATGAAACTGCTGGTGGCTAACAGGATTTGCTGTGTACTCTCATCTGCAGAGCAAGTGAGTTTTATATGGTGTGTGAAGTAATGATACAGATGAGGAAACCAGTAGGAACTGGAGGTTGTTCCTCCAGCATGCCTGCCATGGCAAAAGTGTGGAGTAAAAGGAATAGGTCTGCACTGATTGTGACTGTGCAGGATCTAAGGTTGTACCCACAGACAGTGGCTAAGTTCAATATGAAGTACAGGTCTGTGGACTAGGCTGACTGTGTGATCTCTTCCTCCGTGGCACATTCTGGGTGTTGTCACAGCATAGTTCTTTCACAAACCAGATGCTACTTGAAAACTTGAAGTGAGCTATCTGAACAAGTAAGCAATAGCAAGTGAAGCACAACTTGCAGAAAATTTGAGTTAATTTTTGAATGAATGGTTTTGTCAGTGTCAGTTAATGTTTTCATCAGTGATATTTCAGTATTTGTGTCTCCATAATTCTTCCGAGAGAGTGAAATTAGTTGATCGTTCTTTGAATGTACAAAGAACTCCACAGAGGACCATTTAAACAGGGTATAAGAAATCCCATTTCTAAAGCTGCAATCCTGCAGTTATGTATATAAATGTGAATCAAGTAGTAGACAGATCTAAATAACTTTCCCCTAATACAGTTAACATGAAAACACAATTAGGGACTTGTTTGGTGCATATTTATATTGTATAAATATAACTGTCTTAAAATTGCAGATGTACTGGTGGCAGTTCTAGTACTTGTGCTTAACTTAAAGCCTGTATTTGAAATTAGTGTCTCTTAGCATTCATACAGTTGGAAAGATCCAGGTTTAAGCTCCCTTGTTTCTAACAAAATACTTTGCATTAAATTGTAGTATATTATATTTGTTCACATGTGTGTTTCAGAACTTCTTACTAATGTAGAGAAAATCTGAATTCCCAGTTTTCATGCTGTCTTTGAGTGTCAGCTGGAGCATTTTCAGAATTAGCAGAGCAGACAATTGCTTTTAGACTAAAGCCTGCCATGTCCTCTCTGGGAGTGTGGTTTTAACACCTCTTTGGAGGTTTTCTGTTCACATGCTGCTTGACTATCAGTAAAACACTTTGTGGCCTGGTCCATGTCCATTACAGTAAGACGCTAATCCATTTGGATAGTTCCATGCAACCTTTTACCTTTCCTCCAGATAAGAAAAAAGAGGTAAGTGCATGTTGTGTCCAAACAGTGTGTGTGTTTGTGTGTGTGTGTGTGTGCAAGGTTAACACTTGAAGCTGTTGAAAATATATGCTGTCATGAAGGGTTTTATCTCACAAATGAGTCAGGTTCCTGAGAATGATGAAATCTGAGTGGCCTAGAGAGAGGCAGAAAATTCTGCCCCCTCTGCCTGCCCCCCCCAGTATTTTCAAGTGCAAATATACATTTAATTTTAGCTTGGGTATGACACACATGTAAATTTGAAGTGGAAAAAATGTTAAAAACATTGCAAGGGAGGGATCTTGTATTAGAATTTTTTAATTCCAACTTGGTCTTCATTTCACATACTGTATTTTGTTCTTGCTCTAGGACCACCCAGTGCCCCTGCAGAGGAGCGCTCAGGAACGCCGGACAGCATCGCTTCCTCCTCTTCTGCAGCCCACCCTCCTGGGGTTCAGGCACAGCAGCCACCCTACCCCAGCACACAGCCACAGACGGGGCAGATGGAAGGTAAGCAGAGTGCTTTTCTACTGCCCAGGATGTGAAGGATGGTGTCTGATCCTGCCTTCGATTAGCAGACCCGGAGTGGATACCAGACTGCAAATCGATGTGTGCCCCAGGCAGAGCAGCTTTTGTGCTGGTGCCCGTGCTGGTGCATACAGAAACAGCAGGTGGAGCAGTGGCTCTGTTTGAAAGGGCGGGTGGTGTAACACAGAGAATTTTAATGGTACTGTTTTCTGCTTGCATCTGTGCTCGTGTCAAGCACTGTATGTTGTGTCGAGCTTTCACTCAACTAACAGTTTGTGGACTTGTCTACTATGTATTAAAACTGTTGCTTTATCACCATTTCTATCTAACAGACTGGAGCTAGTATTTTATTGCTTCCTTTTTGTGTACAGCTCTGTGCTATAAGTTAAATCTTGTAACCATCTTAAATGCATGATAGTTCCTTATAACTCCTGAGAGCTCAGCTGGCTCCCCTTTAAAGTTAAGGTCTTAACTCTGGTTAAGACCTTAACTTTATTCAGATCTGTTTGCACTATGCCTTAAAATGTTATTTAACTTCTCAAAATTTGCCTATTCTGAGGTTTCCTACATTTGGGTATCATTTTTTCTGGTGCTATTTTCTAAGTGTGCTGAGCCTTAGACCTTGACACTTCTGGATTAAACTGTCTGTGAAATGTCCTGCTTTGTTACTCCTTCCTCCATATGAAGGATAATATAAAATTGTTTCTGTGCTGGTGTAGGCACAAATGAGAGCCCCCTGATGCTTCTTTACTGATGTAATGCTCAGACAAGTGTGAGATGGTGATCACAGTATCCATAGTCACTTGGATGAAGTGACTTGTCTTGCCTGAAGAGAATAAGTAATGTTTTAATTGAGCACAGCATTTGAACAGGTGGTACTTATGTACAGTATTTAAGGAGGTATGAATACCGTTGGTTGGAGTGGAGCTCATGAAACACTTCTGCTGCTTTCAGCCTTTTCTTCCTTATTAGTCAAGTGTTATAACATACCAAGAGACATCTTTGTAGCTTAAAGATAGAGCAGTTTGGTGTTTATGTATAAAAGTTACTTTTGCAAAAAGGGGATCCAGGTTCTTCTGTTGGCAGCCAGAAAACTCAATGTTCAGAAACCATATTCTCAGCTACTGAACTCGCCTTTTATGAGTTTGAGTTTCATGAGTAAGGTAAGAAGTTTTAAGTGTTGCTGTTAAACTGGAACTGAAACAAAGAAGTGAAACACTTAAAAGCACTAGCACCACTAGCTTGGAATCCTGTATGGCTGCTAGCACCAGGGAAGGGGAAAAATATTTGTTTCAGTAAAACTCACATTGCCTGGGGAGGAGATGTTATCTAGGCTCATGTATCATAGTAGATGTAGTGATTTTTCTAAATTTGGATCAAGGAAAGTATAGTGCAACAGTACTAATTATAAAGGGTTTGATCTGTAGTTTTATGTAGCTTTTAATATTTCTACTGCAATCTTTTAAGTATTGATTATATTTTCTTCATTCTGTGGTTCAGTCTTTGGGAAGAGATCAGAAGTAACTTTTGTCCTTGTTCATTAGAAGTTAGAAATACATTGCTTATGCTGTGCGTGGTATGTATGTGGTAAGCAGCAGTCTCTCACCAAAGCTGGGTAATGTAAGTGTAATTATCAATTTTATTCCAAAGTGTTCAAAGACTTTTCTTTGAAACATGGAGTAGTTTTCTATATTTTGCTGAGGTTACCTCAGTGCAGTGGTAATTTGGGGGCTTGTGCTGTCCCCACAGAGCCATAACCCAGCCAGAACTTTGGATAGGTTTTGATTGTTAGGTTTTCAACAGGATGGCATCACATGAATGGCATTGCTGGTGAACAGCAGGTTCTGTTAGAAACTAGTTTTGGAACTAATTTGAAACTATTAGTTCACTTTATAAAAAACCCAAAACTCCCCAAGCTCTGCTTCCTCCACACACTTTCCCAGTATTTTGAAGATATAAGTAAACTGGTGATGCCAATCATGTGTCAGTCATTCTGGTGAATCAGGGTTTGTTTATTAATGGCTTTCTCTGCCAGTACATGCTGTGGTGATTATGATTGGTTATTAAGTTGTTATGTGTGAATATCAAGCCACCTCACTACTGTGCACTGATACTACTGAAGAGCTGCCTCCCTTGAGGAGTTTTCAGTATTCACTAATTCGAATTAAATCGATCCAGCAAAGATGTTCTAGTACAGTGCTGTGTCTTGTGGCCTCTGCTTTTCTATCACTAAATTCAGTCCTGAGCACACACAAGAAGCAATATACAGATGTGGAGGCTTTTTTAGTCTTTGCTGAAATACGTATGAAATCTCAGTCCCATAAACACTTCATGATTTTCTAGGGAAAAGAATGTTGTGTGAATATATGTAAATGGTCTATATTCTGAATCAGATTAAAAGTCTTTTTCAGTGCACGGGAACAGTGGTAAATGCTGGCAGACCCCTCGCTGCAATCAGCACTGCTAAGTACAAAACCAGACATCAATGCTGTAGCTCATCTAGTTTTCAGAATAAAAATCCAGGGAAAGAAAAGACTCTGTGTCTGAGGACCCAGAGTATCCCTGCCTGTATTCATGGCTGTAAATTAAGAATGTTTTCTTAAATGGCACTGGAGCACCTCTCTGTTCCTCAGTAACACCTCAGCCCTGGAGAAGACAGCAAACCTTCTCAGAAACCTTTGGTAAAACTCCATGCTGTTTCTTTGCTGTCCCTTTACCTGGGATTTCCAGCAGGTGCCAGTGTGGTCTCTCTGATAGCCTGTAGGGAACTATCCCAAAATAGGCAGCCTGCTGGTTATTCTCCCAGAACTTGCCCATGTCAAATGAGCTTCAGAGAGAGAACTTTGTGAGTTTCTAATTCTTAATTAGCAAGCTATCAGGCTTAAATTCTCTTCAAGCCTTGTGTTTTGCACTCTCATCATCCTACAATAATTGCACACCAAATAATATTTTAAGTGGCTGCATCAGTATAAAGTATTCTGAATACCTTACTGTGAATATAAAATACTGTTACTTTCAGCTGCAAATAATGCAGGCAAAAGAAGAAATAAGGAATTACGTTAAAAAGGGGTCTGTCTGGGGGAAACTGGAGCAGTGTCGAGTTGCTTTTGACTTTATGCAGCTCCAAACATAGAGTTTACAGTCTATTTATACAGTCTGCTGATCCTTGCAGAATGAATAATAGTACAGTAACACTTCATAATAGTAAAGTTTCCATGTCTGCTTCAGTTCAGCTAAGCTTTAGTTTTGGCAAATAATTGATTTTGTTCTTTGACTGTGACTTTCTAGATTGAAAAACAGCAGAAGCATAAAGCCTCCATAGGACCCATAGGTTGTGTAAACAAATATTCTGCCTCTTCTGGTTAAGAAGTTGAAAATAGTGAATGTAGGAAAAATAAACACTGACTTGGACTACCAAGCTTAAGAATATATGGTTTTATTTTTGCTTCGGGTGTATACCACTGGGTCTCTTAAGAAAACTTGGCAATGCTAAGAGATGGATGTCTTATCTGGAAAATGTGGTCAGCATAAATAATGTACCACTTGCTTACAGTACTTGGTTGCAGAAATGGTCTTAAAAAGCTAATCTAAATGGACATTCTGAGGACATGTTTAACTTCTGAAGTACTTTAATTTACAGTGTAAGTTCTGGAGCAGTTATGAAGATGTTTAAAGATTCCTGGTCTGTTACCCACCGGAGTGCATAGGGTGCGTAGATTCTGGCAGCCTATGAAAATGTGCAATAGTAAGCCTCACATAACTCTTTAGATAAACTTCATTTAGTCACACCAGCATGTTTCAGAAACTAAAATCTGTACTTTGATGCCACTGGGTTTGTTTCTGTGACGTTGAACTGTCAGGGTATCATTCACTGTAATGCACCAGGGTACTGGGCTTCAACGAAATGCGTTTTTAATCCCTAGGTCAGATGTATCAGCAGTACCAGCAGCCTGGTTACCCTGCTCAGCAGCCGCAGGCTCAGCCCCAGCAGCAGTACGGCGTGCAGTACCCAGGTAAGCAGCTCTGCAGCAGCAGCTCAGCTGCAGGGCCTGACCCTGTCACGCTTCAGTTCCTGACTCTGTGGGGCAGGGCAGGGTGCTCAGCTGCCCAGATGCCTGTGTTCCTTATGGGAGCTGGCACGAATCAGAAATTGCCAGGAAGAGAGTGTTTATGTTGTTAATATGTAGTCAAAGTTCAGCCCTACTTCATTGTGACCAAAGGCAGACCTCATTACTAATCAGCAGAATGCCTTGTTAGAAAGGCAGGCAAAATGAATCACCTGAAGGGTGAGCAGCCTTCAGGATTATATTCTGCAGTCATGGGATTCTAGCAAGTGACTAAACACCCCAATTTAGCCTCCTTAAATATCAAAGGTGTCTAAAGATGGCCCCTGTTTCTTGCGTCTAGAATGATTTCTGTGTCCAAAATTTACTGGTGTAAACATTGTAGTTGTCACTCAGTAAATCATTGGCTAACAGACATACTGTAAATCCCAGAGACACTTTCAAGTGATAGTTTTTCTTTTTTAGTTTCTGATTTTGCTGATACCGTAAGTAAAGGTACCAGTAGAATTTCACTAGAAGAATATTTTAGTGCACTAGAGGTTTATGTACAGTATGTGCAATGAAATACGAAAAGCTGGCTTTAGGGTATACCCAAAATAAACGACCTCAGAACTTTCAGTTCCTTTGGGAGCAGCTGGCATCTAGGAATGCATAGTATATGATAGGAATGATAATCCAGATGAGGCTTAGGGATGAACATTAGGAGTACATTCTGTAACAAATTGCATTTTGCTTAATAATTTTAGAAAATTATACAAAGCATTTATCATTACTTGTTTTAAAAAATCCTCCCAAAACTAAACAAAAGACTCTCATTAAGTGACTCAGAGCCAGTGTGACCTTTTCTTGGTGCACAGTGGGAGTGCATCACTTTTTATATAGATGAGAAGATTTGCAGAGCTCAGGAAGAAATTCCATGCTTAGCATGGATAAGAACCCTAGAATACTTGGACTAAAGGTTTGTGCCTCAGACCTTGTTCCTGTGCACTGTGTGAGCTCGTTGGTTTGTCTAAATGGTATTTTGTTCTCTGCAGATTCCTCCCTCCCCAATTGTAATTAGAATACAGAGACAGATGTACTGGGGTATAATTTCAGGACTAGCAAGGCTGTTGGAAGTAGAAGGGTCTGTTTGACACTCTAGGCTTAAAAACTGAGTGGGGAAACAAAGGAATTCCAATCTGCTTCCTAGACATATCCTATCATCATCTAATCCATTATATTACTGATATTCCTCTGAAAGCTGTAATGCAATGTGAGTTTTGCTTCCCAACATCATTGTCAAGTATGAGTGAAATGCCACCAGAAACTTAATGGGGCAGCTCCGTTTGTCATAACTTAGTTCAGAATAAATGTTAAGAAACAGAGTTTGCTTTGAGGACCTATTGACAGCAGCCTTTGGAGATGTTGAGTCACAGGATCTTTTTGTTTGTGTTCCTTTAGTTCTCATGAGTATTGTCTCCTTTCAAACCCATGTCTCCCCAAGAGCAGGATACCTTCCCATTCTTGTAGATCTACTAGGCAACAGTGGCTATTTATACATGGGTGTAAAAATGGACCCTTCAGAGGTTTGTCTCATGAGTAAATTTTGATCCCAGTTTCAAGGTGAGTTTACTGCAGTGCATTCTTACCCTTACTCTCTCCATTTAGGGCTGTGCACTTTTAATAATTTGTGTGTCTGGTGTTTAATGCTGACAGGATTCCAGTCACTGGAGAGGTTTCATTGCAAGTAGCTGCAGGTGTGTTTCATGGTGGATAAAAGTAGCTATTTCTTCATGAAAGGACTTTGTTCCATTTTAAAATTTCTGAGAAGAGAAATTCCCTTTGGAAGCTAGTGTTATACAGAAAAATCAAATTTGGGACGTGTAAATGGAAGTTTTGTGCCAAAGTGTTCTGTTCTACATAACGTTTTAATATTCAAAGCTAAAGAGCTGAAAACACCTATGATTTCACCAGTGATTTTTTTTAAAATACAAAACCCTGAGAGTATTGTCAAGACGGTTTAATTTGGAGGTTTTATTTGGGAAAAGGATTGAATTTTGCATCATTTGCCAGTGAAGACTTTATTTTTTTGTATGATATTAGGGAAAAGTCTACTTGCCTTTTTTTTTTTTTTTTTTTTTTTCTTTATTTCTCGTCAGTCAGAGGAAAAGTGTTTCATAGTGAGTGCTGTCAGTGTGCTGTGCTGCCGCGGTGTGCCCCAAACCCGGCCGTGCGCTTGTGTGAAAGGCAGGAGAACTCGCAGTTCGCGCTTGGTTTGCCTGTTCTGTGCTTCCCGCATCGTTTTGCGTTTGTCGCTGCGAGCGTCGGGAACGAGCGGTGTTCTGCGGGCACCCTGGCGTCTCTCACCAGCTGCTCTCTGCCTTTCCAGCAGGCTACAGCCAGCCGCAGCCGCCGTCGCAGCAGGGCCAGCAGTTCCCGGCCTACAGCCAGGCGGGCCCCGCCGCCTTCCCGGGGCCGGGCCCGGCGCTGCCGGCGCAGCAGCCGCAGTACGCGGCGGGCAGCTTCCCCCCGCAGCCCTACACCACGCAGGCCTCGCAGCCGGCCCCGGGCACCTTCCAGCCGCGGCCCGGCTTCACCCCGCCGCCCGGCAGCACCATCACCCCGCCGCCCAGCGGGCCCAACCCCTACGCCCGCAGCCGGCCGCCCTTCGGGCCGCAGGGCTACGCCCAGCCCGGGCCCGGGTACCGCTAACAGCGCCCCGGGCACCTCCGACGGACTCCAGAGCCCCTACTGAGATCCCAGAACTGAGGCACAACTGTAGCTGGTGATTAAATTCTGCTGGGGGGAGGGAAGGGACCAAACCTTTCCTGCTTTAAATTGTATTCGCTTCCTAGTTTAATTTGGGGCTGGCCGGTTTTTGGAAAACACTACTTAAATGTCTGTAAAGTGATTGACATTCTAGCTTGCCTTGTCTGAAGGATATGAAGATACTAGTTGGAAGTTTAGCCCACTTATCAGGCTTGTTTTTACTAATACCATGATGTACTAAATTAGATTCATTCTGGAGGTCAGACTAGATATGATGTATTATAAATTGTAATGTTCACATGAAAAACTAATAAAAGCCCTGAATCTATTAAATGCCTGATCTTGATTTTAGAACAAGACAACTGTGCTAAGACTGGTGTGCGTGTTGGGTGCAAAGGTGGTGGGGTTTGGAGGAGGAGCAGCAGATTTCTGGGTGTGTAAATGGAGAGGTGCTGGGACTGCAGATGGCTTTCACAGCAAGGGGTGGTTTTGTGCTGTCTGCTGTCATTGTCAAGTGACTCTTTAACCAAATCACTAGGAGCCAATCCTAATGCTCAAAGCCTCTTGCCAATTTTAACAAGGTGTGGGAGAGAATTCATTTATTACTTAAAAATTTAAACCAAAAGTGTATCTTTAAAAAAGAAAGATAAAAACCCCCAACTTTCCGCAGGTTCTTTGCACCCAGAAGAACTTGGGAGTGCAATCCTAGTGACTCAATTTTGAGCCAAGAAAAGCAGATCACGGGCTGTAATGAAGTCAATAGACCACATTACAGCAGAGGGCAAAACATTCTCCCAGTTAATATTTTCCATTTTGCAGATTCTAGGAATATGTAAAACTAAGCAGGGAATAAAAAACATGAGCTGGAGCAAGCTGCTTGAGCTCTCCTAAAGACAAATTAGGAAGTTGAGTGAAAATATTCCTACCTTCAGCATCCTTAAATAGTGCTGTGCCCACAGCTACTCAGTAAGCTGTGGCTGTACCATTTCTGCTCTCGGACCTAACACACCCCACGTTCATCACGCTATTCAACAGGGGCTTGGTTCCAGCAAGCAGTTTGTTCTGAATAATAGCATTTACCACAGAAACTAAGTCTTGTTTTCATGTAAAACACTTGAAAAAACCACTTGATTAAAAAATATTTTATTAGGAGTACAGTGTACCTGCAATGTACTTTATAAGGTATTTTCTATAAATGACTACTGCATAGATCTGGTAGTTCCTGTTCATATTTCTTCAATACATTAGTAAGGTAATGAATAACACCTTTAAAAAAAACCTACATCTCTTTATTTAGTTCATACATGTTCAAGCAGTACAACAAATAGCTTTGGGAGAGGTTTTAATCAAAATAACTGTAAAGCAGTTTTAAAGCTCAGTTATCAGTATTTCGCCTTTGTCCCCAATGAAAACTATTTTAAACCAGAATATTTCCTTTTAAAATAAACCTGATCATGCTGTTATAACTAGTTTATTCTTTTTCCTCTTTAATTTGTCTTTCCAAGTCCTCTTTCATGGTACATACGTTTGGCTTTTGAACCAGTAAGTGTCAGGCTCTGAAAACTGCATTTTCCTGACAAACCCCAGCTGTGGAGGTCAGCTTTGTTTTTTCTTTCCATGTACATATGTACCTGTCCACTTCAATTAGAGAACACCGACCCTCCCTGCTGGCCACTGCCAGGCTCACGGGCAGCAGCTCTGACTCCGTAATGACAGGCTGAGCATGGCTTTGGCTGGGGCTGAAACATTTGAAAACAAACATGGAAGAAAACCCCACTGAACTTGATCATTTAAAGCTGCACACACAGCAGCCTACCTCGGCATTTTGGCAGGAGCATAAACTGCACATGTAAGGAGAAAGTGCTTCAAGTTTACTGGCTGCAGGATATTAAAAATTATAGGATCTTTTCTATAATTTATGACTGGGAGATATTACAGATGGATTAGGATGGGTAGCTTATGGCACTTGCGTTACAGGACCAGTGAATATTTAAAACTAACGCACATTGCATTCCGTGACCAACTCTGGCATATCTGTGCCTTAAACATTTATTACAACATCGTGATAAATAATATACACACTGTATCTTTTAAAATACCATATAAACCATACCTCAAGAATAGGGAGCCAGCTTCCCTATACATTACCCTACAACACGTCCCTAGCCTGTGTTTTTTTTTATTCTAAAAACAAATCTGTAACACTGGATAACTACAGTAAGCAGCCTACACTATTACACAAGGAAGGCAGTATTGGCACTAGACTGGCAGAACCCCGCGGTGCCGGGCACCGTGAGCGCTGCCTGCTGCAGCCTGCGCCGGGCAGTCGGGCCTCTGCACCCCTTGTGTGGCACCTACCACTTGCCAGGTATCGACGTGCCACACTCGTACCAGCGCACGTAGTTGATCTGAGTCTCCCCGCCTATCTTCCCAAACTTGACCGGTTCCTGACGGACTGCCCTGAAAAATCCTGGAAAAGAGAACAGAGTTTTGTTTGCATGAAGCGCTCAGGACAGCACCGTGGTTTGGTTCCCTGGGAAGTCTAACTAACAATTCAGTGAGTGGCTGAAATAGTCACCGAGCCATTAACCCACGTGCCACAAGCAGAGCTGCTTGCTGCCCCTACATCCACTGGCACTCTGCAGTTTGCCAACCCAGCTCAGAGCTAGAATGGCTGGGATGCAGTGCGGAGGTGAAGCTGCCTCCCCTGGGTATCCCAGCACCCTGCCCTGGTGTTGGTCTGTGCCCCCTCTGTGACAGTGAAATAGTCCCCACTGTGCAGCCTTGACACTGCAGCGAACCTCAATAAAACCCGGCCACTGGGGAAAGGTCACAGCATCTCCCCATCCCAGTCACCCTCCTGCTTTCACTCTGTTGCCTTTGACAACACACTTGCTTCCCATTTAAACAATTAACATGAGGTTACAAATTACATTGAGGAATTGGGCTCCATCCAACCTGACCATAAGGAATGGATGTGTGGCTGGATCAGGCACATGGACACACACACAAAAAAAAAATACTGTTCTGCAGCTGAGAGACAGCAACAGCCATGATTCTCTCACAGCACTTCAGGTCAAATATGTGTAGTTAATTCAGAAGTCAACCTGCTGCAGCTAGAACATTGGTCTGTTGGTCTGTTCTTTCCTCTGTTCAGTTCATTTGCTAGAAATACAAGCTACTGAAAAGGTGAGGTCTTTTGTTTGCTTGTTTTGTTGTTTATTTTGGCCTAAAAATGATCGGAGCTCATGAAGTCACTCAAATGCAGTTGCTGAAATCAAACTGATTATAAGTGTCTTTTAAACTGAGGTTGCAAGGTTGTTAGGTAAAAGTTTTTTTAAATATTCAAATATTTTAAAAGGTGTGAATCTGGTACAACTGAGAAGTTTGCTGGCAATGCAAATTGGATTCTGACCATCTCTTACGCAAAATATCTTTTCAAATGGGCAGCACTGACTGGGAAGGGAAAAGCAAAAACCTCTTTAGAAGAAACACACAAAACAGATAAACAGACACCCTTCAGACCTTCAATTACTTTGTTTTTTGGAAAATTTTGTGAAAGACTTAGAAAATTCACATTCATCTCCTACAGCTACTTCAATGCGTATCTGCACTCATGTGGGGTGTTTTGCAAATGAAGCACAGGATGGTTTGGTCAACACGCTGATATTGTACTGAAAACTGTTTTGCTGTTTTTCTCAGTAAAATGTTCCATGACACGCTCAGCACGCGTGCACGTACCAGTACAGCCTGAGTTCTTACCCCACAAGGAACAAAACACCTCACCCTGGCACTGCTGCCAGCAGCAAGGCAGGAGTTCAGCTGACAGAAGTACAAATTTCTTGTATCTCAGCCTCAGCAATGGGTGAAAAATAGCCAGGCAGGTCATGGCTGTGTTTAGCACATCCAGTCTCAAGTCCACTTAGACCTGTCTGGAATTTTGGGCACACTTTTGCAATCAGTACACACAGAATTCCTGCAGCATGAATTATATTTTCCAGCCATAAATTTTCAATTTCTAATTTGTACCAAACAAGGTATTTAATGCCCAACTAATTATGTACTGTGCTTTAAATCAACCGTGGTAGTTTGAACACACCACGTAATGCCTCTCTGCAAACTCAAACTTGTGGCTGGGTTTAAATACGTAATACCAACTGTGAATAATTTGTTGGGCTGTTTTAGACGGTAGAGGGGCTGTTTGCTACCTGACAGAACCCAACTGTCTTAATAAGGCATCATTCACTGTCAGAGAACTTCTTGACCCTCTTCTGCCTGCTGGCAGCACCTTTCATTGCCCACCCCAGCAGTGGGCACTGAATCCACTGGCAGGAAATAGAAACAAACAAAGGAATTGCCAAGGTTTGCTATGGAGACAGGTGCTGGGAATTACCATCTTTGACAGGTAGATCTTCTTGCTGTCCTGTCCTTCCATCTAAGAATGAGTCTACAAATTGGCAGTGATCTTCTCCATGGCCCCTCTGGTCTCCTATGTTATAAAATTTTCCTGAAAGCAAAGAAGCAGCAGAGTTAGTGAAGAGTATTTCCAAAAACCACCAGAAGCAATGGGCTGTGCTCTTTCCTCTGTGGGGAAGCCAAGGTGAATGCTTTGATTCTTTTCCTCTCAGGACTTGTAGCTGTAATTTGAACATGACGTGCAGGCTCCAAGTGCTCATGGCTGAGGCAAAAGTGCCCGACTCTTGGCCAAAATCTATGCCTGGACATAATTCTTCCCTCTCCTTACATTTCATGCAGTAAGGGAAATTCTGTTACTACCAAGAACATAATCAAAAAGCAAGTTTTGGTAGTGATTTGAATGGAAGGCAGGTCTGGTTCCCTGTCAGGAAGCCCCCAGTACCTTCAGAGATGTTTTTATAGACCACCTCCTAACATAGCCAAGGCCTGTTGTATAAATCATCATAGTTTTACAACATGTATGTGCAAGTGATAGCCCTTAACATATAGATGACCTGGGATACTAAGTACTTATCCAGAGCATGGAGCGTGCCCATGTATTTGCTTGCAGGATTGCTTAACAGGACACTTGACTGCAGCCGAGCAGAAATCAAGGTCCCAGGTGTCCCATGGAGCATGTGCTGATGTTACAGGCTGTGCTCATCCTGCTAACAGGCACAGGGAAGGAGCCCTGACAGCTGTTTTTACTTGCTGATTCCATTTGCAAGACATTAGTAAAATTCAGTTCAGAAGATGGAACTTCTCTTCCCAAACCTGGGATGGAAACCTTGGATAAACTTAACCATTCCTTCTAATCATCTTTCAGAGCACTTAGTTCTAATATGTTCAACTTTGGTTGAGATGTTGAAAGGA